GTTGGGATTGAGGAATTTTACAATGTTATATAGTATTGGTGCTATAAGTTTTTTTATCTTAATGGTACAATTTGAAGTTATACCTTTAACGTTATGGTACAACTTCATATTGTACCTATGTTTTTTTTACAAATTCTTTTATGGTACAACTTAAACTTGTACCTTTATGTGACGGTACAACTTTAAGTTGTAAAATTGTGCCATAAAATAAGGGTACAAATTTCTTTATTGTACAACATTAACTTATACATTCAACGTTATGGTACAACTTCAAGTTGTACATTAAAGCACCAATGCTTTATAGTATAGTAGAAGTGCTCGGTTGGGATTATATACAATGGATTACAAATATAATTAAGGAGGACAAATGGTTAGTTACAAATGGAAACAAGAAATTAGGAGTGATGAAAACATCATCCTCTACTGTCGTGCTCATGATCAACCATCATGTATAGGCATCGGTTGTCTTAGTTTTATATGTGTATAGATTTTATTCTTAAATATGTAGTCTTGTTGGTGGGAGAGCTGATTTTGATGTGGTTTTGGTATAATTGTGATATTATTGTAGCTTTGTAATGAGCTATTCTCCAAAATCAGATAAGGGAGGAAGCCAATGTTGCATTGCCCAAATCAAATAAACAAGATCGATCTTTTTTCAAGTAAAGCGAACGCTCGTAGGATTGGGGTGCAATGAAGCAAGACGATATCATATTGTGTATGCGAAAGTTTGGTTTTCTGGATTTTGTTACGCCCAAGGATTTGCTCGAATTTTTCATTAAACTTTGACATGATTTTTTTGAGAACCATTTAAGAATAGCTTTTGTTTTATTTATGGAAATATATGAACAACTCAATATGCGAGTAATACCCATTGTTTTATAAGTTTGAACTCCGATATGGACATTTCAATTTCCTTGCTTATTGCTTGACGTTTTTCGTTATGTTTTTCGGTGTAGGAAGTAAATAAGAAAGCTACAGATGTACAAATTAAGAAGAATGTGTAATGTTTTTTTAGCGTTATTTATGTGTGTGCCTCAATTATTAGGGTTTAGTGATGATCCTTTCGGATTATTCCGGCTAAGATTGGGCCCATTTGAAACTTATTCATCATATCAAAACACTAGCGTGGCTCTGACCATTTGACCGGAGGAATGTGAGGTATGAAATTTGATAATGTAATGGGATGTATAGCTTATTGTTGTATAGTTATTTTGGGAAACACGTGATAAAAATAGTGAATTTTAGTAGGAAAGAGACATGAATGATGTGACGAATCAAAAATTAGCCTTATGAACCAAAATCAAGTACCTGTTACCTTGTGAAACTATATTGTTTCTGGTAATATGATGAGGTGGAGTAAGTTCTATAGAAACCGTATTCCAGAAAATCGAATAAAAAATTGCCTATCCCGCCGGTTTTCGGAGAATGAGCATCTCACAATCGTTGTTAGCTTTTACTCGGCCCGTTGGCCGATTAATTTGGTTTATAAAACTTTCATCTAGTCATCATTGTGCTTTCTAGTTTTTTGCCAAGCCATCATAAAATCTAAAGAAATCAAGAATGAACAACACGATTTGGGATAAGAACCACCGTTCCTGTATCCGTAGAAAATGGTGGTAAACACGGACTCACCTGCCAAACTGATTTGGATTGAGATTTTTATCGCGTATCAGGAAACCATGTGATTATAAATTAGACTTGATCAAAACGGGCCAAAACTTGAAATTCAGACTGTTTGACCGACCCATGCCAAACTCTAATTATTCTTTACTTTTAAACTTTCTATTTGAAAATAAAAAAATAATGAAAGAAAAGATATGACTGCAATTCGCCATTTGCACATCACTGATTCGGGAATAAAACTATAGAATTTCGAAAGGAAACTGAAAATGTTTAGGATCGTTTTAATGTTAAAAATAACCAAATAGATCTTTTTGTTTAGTTTTTTACTAACAAATACCAAACGATTTACTATAATATACACTATAATTTGATCATTATGATATCAAATAATTACATAATATATATTTGAAATGATAAAAATTGGACTAATTGGGTTGGTCGAGGTTGAACCATTGAATAACTTTAAAATATATTATATTTTATCCACTAAGATATAAAATAATAGCATAATATATATTATGCTAGAGAAAATTGCTTGTTTTAGAATGACAAACCCATGATGTTCATTTGTTTTACTTGATGGGCAAATCTCGTGTAGGTCAGGCTCGTTCAACTCTTTTATTTTATGATTAGCGGTTAGCCCATTAGAATCCATGCATTAGTGTATTGTTAATTTTTTTCTTTTTAGCAATAAAAAGAAGTATTGTTTTTTCCTTTTCATATATATTTTACCATCACGGAAAAATAAAATGACTTAAAGAAAAAAATTGACACTCCGGGACCCATTTAAATCCACATGTGTACGCTAAGTTGGCCCGTTCCACAGAGAAAAAAAAATCGACACTCCCTATTCTACCCTTCCTACAAACGCTCATGGAGCAGGCAATTTGAAATGGGCGAAGGGTTTTTTCCTCTCTGCCATTATATGTTTTTAATTTAAAAAGATACAACAAATGTACTTAGTGTGATTGGTTATGATCTTTGTTTTTCTTTAAAGTAGTCATGGTTCGAATCCTAGTAAGTGTCTTTTTAATGAATAAAAAAAAGTAATTGTGAAGATCAAAATGTCCTTTCTACTTTCACTCGCTACAAGAAAACCAGCCTATAGAGGCAAATAATTAGAGGCAATTGTTGTATTAGTCTCTATAGCTAAACGTTAGGAGCAAATATATTATTTGACTCAGTAGGTGAAATTACTTGTCTCTATAGGCAAATCTGATAGTCTTTAGAAACAAATACAATTGTTGCTTATAGCAATATTATTAGAGATAAATATAATAGTCTTTAGATGCAAATAAGAATGCTCCTTATACAATATCATATAGACGCAAATCTAATAGTATTTAGAGACAAATACAAATGTCTCTTATCATTATGTCATATGGAGGCAAATCGAATAATCTTTAGATACAAATACAAATATCACTTATAGTTATGTCATATGGAGACAAATTTAATAGTGTTTAGAGACAAATCTATATGCTCCTAAAACACTAATTCGAATTGATTGTATTGTGTAGGTTTAAGTAATAGGGGAAAAATTTATAAAAAAATACCGGGGAAAAAACTTATGCTGCCAATTTTCCCATTTCTACCCAAACTTTTTTTTTTTCTCTTAATTATTTAGTTTTTTCTCTTTTTAATATATAAATTAATAACTTTATTTTTATGAATAATGTTCATACCAAATATTCAAAACTTAAAATATAGTACATATCTATTTTTACATTACACTAAGTTATTTGATTAATAAAATTATATTAATATTGTATAAAAACATTATTGCACATTAAAAATAAAAGAAAAATATAGCCCATTAACTGAACTTTTCTAGAATGACCTTTCAATTTCTTGGTTTGGGAATTTGGAGTGGGACTCCAATAAAATTTAATTTTCTTCTACCATTAGTTTAGGTAATGTCGTGTCTCTCTCCAAACAGCGAACATCAGCAACAACCCACAACTCTTCCTCTGCTTCTCTCTCGTTCTTTTCTTCTTCCTTGCCTTTAATTCCCGAGAGAATCGGTTGATCAAGAATCATCTGTCGTCGTTCAATCGACGTAGCTCTCTCCCGCGGTAGTTACCAACTCCCTCAGATCCGCCAAGAGAGATATCAGAAATGGCGTCAACGTTCATCAGCGACAAGACTCATCCTCTGTTAGGCTTCTTCTCCTAGATTCGGACCTGAAGACGGTAGCCGTCACGACACCAATCCATCAAGGAGCTCGCTGCCCCGATGATCTAGATCCACATATGGTAAGTGGTTTTCAACGGTCGAGTGCTTATAGGTCCAGCTTGAAAAATCTAGATCTAAGCGCATATCGGCGACGTTTCCTCCTCCTCCGACGGATTTAGTCATCCCCTGCTGAGATTCGGTGCCTCGAAATCATCGATGTTAATTATAATCTCTTCCTTGCAGATATGGGGTTTTGATTTAGTGGACGTCGCTTGAACTGGATTTGGATTTCATATGATGAATCTCCGATCTGTTTGTTTGAGGGCTGGATGGGGCGAGCTTTTGCAATCTTGAGGGCGAAGAAGCAGCAGCGGCAGCACAGAGGCCTCAATTGAATTTGTTCTATGTGGTTGTTTAATGATTTGGCAAGAAAAAAAAAAGAGAAGAACAGTGACGAGATTGGATTTTGGTCGGTTAGCGATTGGTTGTAGACTTGTAGGGGAGTCACAGTGTAGAGTAGAGCAGTAGATGATTTAACTTTGTAAATTTTGTAGACACCATGTATTCTTTATTTATTATGGCAATGTATTCATGTATTTTAAGAATAAATGTATTAAAAATTATTAATGAAATTTGAATTATTATTTTATTTGTCTAATCTTAGGTAAAATTTTAAATTAATCAAAATTATGAAAGTTGAAATAAAAGCAAAAGTATTTGCGCAAATATTTGTTTCGGTAAAGTGTTCTAGAAACAATTATAATTGTCTCTATAACTAGAAATGGGAACAAAAACGTTCTTCTCCAAAATCAAATAAAAAGAAAATATACACGTCCTTTAAATTGGAATTACAATCAATAAGATTTGATTCAGATTTATTAACTAGAACTAGATATTATTTGCATCTATATTTGCTTCTAAAGAGAATTAGAGACAAAGGCGTCCGATGCAAATAATTTATTTGTTTCCAAAGATATACAGAAACAAATAACTAGGGCTTTTAGACGCAAATAACCTCTGACTTTGTAGCCAAATTTTCTTGTATGCAGGAAATTTGAAATGAAGTTTCAAGTTTTCGCATTTGGCTTTTATTTATTGTGTAGATCAGAAATGCAAAACCATGTGAGACCACATGAGTTGCACAAATGGAAACTCACCTACCGAAAATCAAGCAGTTACAGTTTTGAAACATTATGATCATTTTACGCAGCGCATTGAGAGATGGGAGCAGCATCGAACTGCATGGAACAGACGCTCTCTCCGACCACAACGTGGCCTCCGATGGAGTACTCGCACACGTCCTCCAAGAAATTTCTGGCATAGCTGAGACAGTCATTGCAGTCCGACAGTTTACTTGGGTCGCAAGTAGCGCGGCCGTACGCTTTTGAGTTGCCCGCGGCTGAGGTGGCGCAGTAGTGACCGGTGCTTTCGGGTACCGTGATGTCGACCAAGTCGTCGAGGACGCTGCGGCCGGCCAAGTAGCGGTTGGAGCCTGACGACACGGTCTTTAACACGCAGGTGTAGGCCCCGAAGTTGAAGGCATCGGCGGTGAAGTTCATGCCGATAGCTACGGCGACGGCGAAAGTTGCTAGGGCAAGTTTTTCCAGAATGCAAGTTGCCATTTGAAATACTATTAGCTAGTGTGCTAATTTTCTTGCGAAATGCTGATTGCCACTAATTATGGTTACAAACTTACCATTATATAATAGGATGTAGAGGAAGAAGAAAGGCCGGGCTTTGTTTTCTGCTCGTTTTTGCAGTTGCGTACGATTGATTAATCTGATGCTAGCTGCTGAACAAGAAGAAATATTATATTAGCCGTGTGTAGCATTTACGCACGCGAAAGTGTTGGGAAAATGAAGTAAACTGATCTAATAAATCACCTATTACGACAAAGGAAGTTTTGTTTACATTCAAAAGATATAGTAGCTAGATGTTATGGACTAGAATACGGGTATTAGGTTAGGATAAAGTCAGTTTTAGATTAGTTTTGTTTTTCCGCTCTTTCCCTCTTCTCTCTCTATAAACCATGGTAAAAAAAACCGGATCGTACAGGTCGGTTGAACCGGTAAAAAGGAAATCCGACCCTGAGCGATACGGTAGACCATTGGTAGCAAGAATATCGTGCCGGCCAGTTTGTACGGTTAAACCGACACAATACAAAAAACCGCCCGGTTTTGGTCTAACCGGGGGTATGCTTCTGGGAAGGGAACGACACTGTTTTGCCCAAAAAAATTGAATTATTAAAATCGGCCGAAGGCCAAAATGCTCAAAACCCTAATGCAAATCAGCCAAACGAAAAAAAGGAGTCGTCTTTTGTTTCTTCCATTGTTCCCCAGCGGCTGTCGACCAGGAAGGCAGGAACCCCCCGTCGCGGCGTCGCTTCTCCTCTTCTCCTCTGGCGACCGACGACCAGGAACAGCCGACCAGAGATCCTCGACCGGCGAAGCCACCTGCGCTCCGCCGCTGCTCCTCCTCAGCCAGCGCGGCGCTCCTCTCCGCTCCTCCTTAGTCGGTGAGCCGTCCGCTGCTCCTCTCTGCTCCTCCTCAGGTCAGCCGGTGCGCCTCTCCCTCCCCTGCTCAAGAAGTCGACGGGAGAGCTTAGGTTTATTCGTTTAGGGTTGACAGCTAAGTTTGGGCTCCATTAGGTTCAATTAGTTCGGCTTACTCCTTTTTATCCGTAGGTTTCATGGGCGACGCTTTAATTAGTTGTTTTTGGCAAAAACGGTATTTTGCCGGTACACAACGATTGAACCACGATCGTACCACAAAATACCCTACCGCTGGCGAATCCGGTATGACCTCCGGTACGGTTTCCTTTACCATGCTATAAACTCAAACTCTAAAGCAGATTAAGCTTAAGCCAAGAGACTCACACCTTTTCAATGGAATTCATTCTGGAATAAATAGGACTTCTTCTTCAAAAAAAAAATAAAAAAAATCTAGCTTGGTATAAGAGTTTTTTTGAGCCGATACACACTCACACTCTCGCTTCAGCCTCACTCATCATTTTTCTCTGGAATTCTTTGTCTCGTCCTGTTATGGCGATTTAAATTGTACATGTTTTTTTATATCTCATTCAAACCTCATTGCTTGGATATTTCAGCAATAATCCTTTGTTTTTGTCACTTTTATGCTTGGTTTGTGATTTTTGTGTGTTCCGGGTCATGATGAATGATTTTGATGATATTTGGACGAGAAATTTTAGAGAGTGGTATAAGATTCAGCATAACCTTTTCCCAACAACTCGAGTTATTGGGACCAACTGGTTCTTGACATGGTATCAGAGCCTTCTGTGACTGGGAGGTCTTGTGTTCGATTCCCGGTGACCCCCATTTGTTAAGCACATGGTATTCTTGTCTTTAGACCTGTGCAAACTTTAAGCAATTGTGAGTGGCTTTCGTTTGAGGGGGCGTGTTAGTGTTGTGGTATATGATCCACGATTGAACCTCTCCCAACAACTCGAGTAATTGGGATCAACTGGTTCTTGACAGTTGGGGCTGCGTTTCATCATCTTGGAGAGAACAAATTTCTTGAGGAGGTCCTGCTGCTGAATCTGGTCGCTGGTGGGGAGACCCATCTGCTTCTGGCGCTGGTCGAATATCATCTTCTCCACCATCGACCTCATCTCCGGATCCAAATCACTCAGCCTGCTCGGCTCCGGCTCCACCTTCTGCGTGTCAATCTCCGGCCCTCCCTTCACCAGCGACTTCCACCAATTCCTCTCATCCGATTTCATCAGCAGAACAAAGATGATCTTCTGATCCTCCAATTGCCAAAAATATTCGCCCACTTTCACTGGATCGAACAATTCGCCGTCGAAACTCATGGGCTTGAAGTTTGCACAGGGCCACCATACCTTGTGCTTGAAACACAACGGTTAATATTGGGGGTCGTGGAGATTCGAACACATGATCTTTCGGTTCTAGGCTCTGATACCAAGTCAAGAACCAGTTGATCCCAATAACTCGAGTTGTTGGGAGAGGTTCAATCGTGGATCATATACCACATCATTAACAAGAAATACACAACGTAAGAGAGATTGAGAGCTTTAGGGCATTTGGAATACTCTTGGATAGTTGTTTGGAGGCTCCCATTGTTAGGAATTTAAGTTCCTCACTTAAGTGGGCTTGCAAATTCACTACACATATATTAGCTATTTGGTTTTGATGGGCTAACTATAAGTGAGCAATACATGGAGCCCGTGATTACTCAAGCCCAATATGGGTCTAATGGGTGGAAACCCAATACTTGTCCACTTGGGTTTTATGGGAGCCCATGTGAAACTAGTATATAAAGAGTTTGAGGTTGTGGTACCCTATACACCAAGACCAAACAATCTCATCTTCTCCCCATAAGGAAGATGAGAGCTCTCCCGTAAAGGAACTATGGAGGCTTGGTTGAGGAAGATCACGCTACCTCCCGGGTCGTGCTCTTAGAAGTATCGTCCGGCCAAAGTTCGTCTTTCAGATTCCGCATCAAGATCCGGACGGTCTACATCGTGAAATCAGGTAACTCTATCAACCTTTGATAATCTGACAAGATGATGGATTCCGGGAAATTACATATGCTAAAGTTTAATTACAACAAGTGGTATCAGAGCCTGTCATCTTTATTGGATTGTTGGGGTTTTCGGATATACCTATGTTTATATATGTGATTCTTGCTGTTTGCATTCTTTTGAAATTTCTGGGTGCATATTCATTTAGAATATCTGTGTGTATGGGTTCTTATGAATTAGTTGAACTCTTTATTTAGACCATTGGGGTTTACTCGAAATAAGTTATAAGCATGATTATGGTTTCATTCTTCATTTTAATTTTCTGGACACTTTCATGCATGTGGTTCGGGCATGATTGTCAGAAAATAGAATATATGCATGCTACTATTCAATAGAATCCCAAATGCAGTATTGGAGCCTTATTTAATTAATTGTATCCCTAATATTCTTGGTGCGTAATACCTTGATCATGCTATTGTGATCGTTTTGATAATTATCAATCCTTTTGTTGCTGGGAATTTCCATCCACCGGCGTTCGTTGTTTTTTTTACTTCCGAACGTTTCTCTTTCCCTACCGTAAAGACGTTGGTGGCGATTACAGCTTTATGGCGAATTATTGTTATAATTATTGTTATCATCACGGTTACGAAAGAAGGATTAATTAATACTTAATTTTTGTGGCATTCGGTTACAGTTGTGGGAAAATTGATAGGGATTACAATTTCTCACCGTAAGGTTTCATAGCCACGTTACGGTTATATGAAAATTTTTTAATAATTAATTAATCATCCGGTTAAGCATAGGAAAATTAAATAGTTAATTAATCATTCAGAATTTCCGGTTATGTAAATAGCCTTCCGTAAAAAAAGGATTTTAGGAAAAAGAAGGAGAGTAAAAAAAAAAAAAGTTCTCTCTCTGGCGTGGAGAGTGGGAGCGCAGAACTCGCCGTCGTGCGACTTGCCGGCAACGGCCACTCCGCCATCGTGCCCCGCCGGAAACGGCCAGTGGTTTGATGGGGGTTATAAAGCCAGTGATCTGGGCTGTGCGATTCCATTCGCCGATTCGACTCTCTCCTTGGCTAGACTGCCGATTTCTGCTCAACATCCTGTTGCCCTATTCTCGTTCGACCAATATGGAGGTGGTGAATGCGGTGATATTCGGGGATGCTGATATCGTGGCTGGAGTGCAGCGTAGCGACCTTTCGCTGCTGGGGAGGGTAGTTGGCTCTATGCCTTCGATTCGTCATCTCCAATCCACCATGGGTCGGCTCTGGAACTGTCGGGGAGCGATCTCCATCCTCCCAACGGCTGAAGGGCTACTTCAGTTCGTCTTTCCCACGGAGGAAGATATGAATCGGGTTCTGGGTGAGACGCCATGGTTCTTGCCCAAATTCCTCGTTCATTTGGCCCCTTGGGTGGCGGTTTCCCCTGAGATTGCGGACCAGTTATGGCGGATCCCTTTACAGCTTCAATTTTGGGATGTTCCGCCACTGTTCTGCACTTCGAAGATGGGCACGCTCCTGGGCTCGGCATTGGGGAAGAGCGACCCAGCAACCGTTCACAGGGTAACTGCCACAGGAGAGATCTTCCTCCATGCCAAAGTCTGGATCGACGGACGCCTCCCTCTCCCAGTATCTGTCCCAGCTTCACACGAGAAGGTTGGCAAGGGCGGGTTCACCGCGCTGATCAAATACAAGCGGCTATCTCAGTTCTGCTATCTCTGTGGCATTCTCGGCCACATTGGCCAACACTGCCCTCGCCGCACCAACCTGGCTGGAGCTGTCACCCCATACAACAGAGAGCTTGTCTCGAAGAAGTCTGGGCCGAAGGTCAATGAGCGTTCCCTGCTGACTCGCAGACAGTTCACCTGGGTGCGTAATGAATCAGCATCCTCATCCCCAAGTCACAGCCATCCCCAGCAGGGTGAGGCCCCGGGCAAGCTGACCAGGGACAGGGAATTTGACTCTGGTCCTTCGGGGGAAGGGGCTATGGCTAAGAAAGGGAGACTGGACACTACGGCGTTGCTCGCCATCAACGATTCTGCTGCTGCGGTGGAGGA